AGTGGAGGTCCTGGGAAAGAGGCCTTGGAATTTGCAGAGTTTAGTTGAGGGTAAAATAACAAGTGTTTCTTAGTGATTGAAAATGCAGGGCTTCGGAGGTGGAGAGGAACGGACATGGATCTCAGACTCAATACACACCAGCTGGGAGACCTTGAAAAAGTTATTTAACAGTTATTTGCTTATCCATAAAATGGGGTTAGCATCTACTTCTTAAGTCTCTTGTGGGAAATGGATTAAATAAGAGAACGCATATGAAGTGTTTAGCACAGCATCAGCCATGCAGTGTTCAATGAACAGCGGCTTTAATGAGGATCCACGAGGGGGCCTGGGACAAATTTATCCCAGATTACTTCTCACCCGCAGTTCCCTCAGCTTACTTAGTTCAGAGGCTTTCTTGTTGGAGTTGGGACCTGTTAACACAATCGCAAGGCCTTGCATGTGAGCAGCATTTTACTTTAAAATAAACAACATTGGAGCAATTACAATGGCAACCCTTTGGCCCACATGCTCTCTGCTTGTTAAACTTGCAAGAGGGGAAACTAAAATGTAGAAATTCAATTCAGTTCTTTGAAGAAGCATGTTTGCTACCAACCACAATGACCACCACGCACACGATGGATCTCACTGTACTAGTAAGATAGTAAATTATTTCTAAACAGGCGCTTGGAAGGGACCAGAATGGCAACATTCTTACGCTCAGAGTGTATTAACAAGGGAGTAACCTGGTTCTCATTAAATCTAGACATAGGAGAACCAAGCACAGAGCAATAGGGGACCTTCCCCAGCAAGGACCTGAAGAAAACAGAACAAAGACTGAATTAAAGAGTGAGAGGTGGGGGATGTGGCATTGGAACTGGACTCTCGGGAGGCTAGTGAGAGGTGGCTCAGGACCAGCTGCACTGTACTCTTGTGAGACACTGCACTCCCACCAAGCACCGGTGGCCTTCCCTGGGCAGGCGCGGCTCTGTGCCTCAGGTAAACAAGCCACACGACGAGCAAGGCCTGGCTTCCTGGCATATCGCCTGCACACACTGATGAGAAATTTAAGTCAGTGCACTTTGAAACAAAGCCTAGGCACTGAAATGAAAGCCACAGGGTGGCAGGAAACCTGGGGTGTCTGGTTTCCCAGCATATTCTCCTACCACCTTGGAGGGTGCTCCTCACCCTATAGATACTCAAGAAAATGCATGTAGACAGAATAAGTGGACCGATCAATATATTATGAAACTGTCAAAAACCCCTCACGATTACTCAAGGCAAGTCCATACTTGAGACAGGCAGACTGGGCTACCACTCAGAGTCCTCGGAGTTTGCCTTTACCTTCCTTTGCCTGTCACAGACCGCATTAGCCTCTCACTCCTCTAGTAAGATTAGACAGTGCTTACTATGTTTCTGGCACTGTTCTCAATGCTTACCATTAAAATGTTATGAGATCAGTATTATTATTATTACTTCCATTTTACAGATGAGAAAGTTGAGGCAGACACCCTGCCCTCATTCCCACAGCTAGTCCATAACAGCCATGATTTGAATGCAGCCAGTGTGGCTGCATGCAAAATTGTATTTTTAACTGCTATGATATTATATGGCTTCACTTTAAGGAAGAATATGAAAAGTTCCAAGCTTGAGATTGGGCTCCATTTTACCAGCTGATTAACAATTACTAGTTAACAAAGACTGATAATTTCATCTTTTACCATCCTTAGAGGTGCTAGTACTATCCCCACTTTATGGATGAGTCACAAGATCAGAGAGGGTAAGTGGATTGTCTAAGATCACACAGCTCAGTAAGCAGCAGTGCTGAGACTTGAACAACAATTTTCTGACCCGAGGGCCCTTGTTATTAATCACTATTATCACCTAGATATTGCTTAGATAAAAATAAAATCACCTAAATTTAAAAAAAAAGTGCTGTGGCTTTTATTCAATCCTCTCCCCATGCCTTTGTGAACATTAGAAAGAGGAGGCCTTCTTCTGTAGACACGCCCGTACTGCAGTGCAGCTCTTAGTGAGCCACGGGCTGGGTCAGGCCTTTCTAATTCCTCAGCCATTCCCTTGTGCAGTACGGAAATCCCTGCACAGGAACATGTGACAGCCACACATTCAGCAATGTGGACAGAGGGAAGGGACCCGTCATGATTCAGAAATTCTCCTTACAGAAGTCTTTAACTGGCACCTTGGCAACATCCATGCCAAGGACTTGCTCATCGCTCCCTATCAATCCTTGAGTGTTGGCATTGGAGTTCTTTTCCCTGCCCTGTGACTGCCCTACGGGGACTTCCTCAGGTCTGTGGAGACCAAGGTCATGGCCCCTAAGGAGATGTCCACACTGAGGCGGGTCCTGGCCTACGGTGCCCAGAAGCCTCTCTCTGAGTGTGGAAGGACTCCCAAAAGGGGGACTTTAATTTTTAAAACACTTGGATCCCACCAACATCAGACAGTCATGGATGCATTGAAACTCTTGCTGAGCTCTTCAAACAGCTCCTGTGGTTTCACCCCCAAATGGCATCTTTCAGCCTCTCATTCACCAATTCTCATCCTTGGCAATGAGCCTTTCCCACTTCCTCTGGTTCACACTCGGACTAGTTCAGGCTGCAGAACACTCCCAACAAGATCTTTATTGTTTACCTTGTACCCTTTTAATCCACAGGGAGTACTTGAGATCCAGTTTCATCTAGGAATTTATCTCTGATACTTAAAAGAGGGCCCACCAATGCTATGATGTTTGGTTCATGTCAGGATAGAAAGGAAAACCACAAGTCTGTAGTAGATGTCAACCTTCTCATGGTTGAAGGCTGGAAACTGACATTAAAAACTTGTGGAACTTAACTAAAGCATTAAAAAAAGCTAATAAGGAAAAAAACTAATAAGAGCAGCTATGACTTATTGCTATGAGCTTGGCTATACATTTACAAAATAATTTTATTTTATCTTCTACAGTCCTTAGAGGTGACAGTACTATCCTCTGTGGATGAGAATGAGATCGGGATAGGGAAGTGGGTTGCTCGAGATCACACAGCTCAGTCAACAGACTGAGATATGAACAAAAGCTGGCTACCTCAGAGCTCTTAATCGTCATCCCTATGCTACAAAATTGTAACCTTTTTTGTCTCCTTAGTTCATTGTGTCTGCCAATTAATGGATATTCCCGTGATAGGCATGGGGAGAGAAGAGGGCATCTCCCCTGCCTGCTGCTGGCTGGTCCTGCAGCAGCTGGACACCAGAACTGCCAGGTCACCTCTGGGTACTCTCAAGGCCAGTGAACTGGGAATCCTGAGGATACCAATATTTAGTTGCTATAACAACAAGATTTCCCTGAGGTGTACACTAGGACACACTGACCACCCTTTGGAGGTCTGTGACAGATGAACCCCTACAGACACTGGCAGCATCTGCCCTTTGGCAAAGGCTTTGAGAGGGAGATCTGGGAGGTACCCTCCTCCTCCCTGGACCTGGGACCCTCGAGCACATAGCTGGGCATGAGGTCTGCTGGAGGATGGGGCTCCACAAACGCCCTTCATGCCACCATATTTGCCCAGAACTTTAATGCCTCCAATGCCTTCACACTAACTTCTCACTGAAACTCACAGCATCCGGTTTAATAGGTAGGCACGTGATATTTGTACTTTATGGCTGGGATCCTGAGGACCAGTGCTTACACAGCCTCCTCAAGGTCAACAGCTCATGGTGACAGAGCAGGCTAGACACAGGATACCTGCTTCCCAGACATAACACTGGGCTTCCCAATGCAATGTCTCAGCACCCCACGTCTGCAGAGAAGGGAGAATACGGATTTTCTGTTGATGGGCGTTGAGATGCTCTATCTGTTGTTTTGGACAAGAAAACCAGAGATGCAAAATATGGTGCTAGTAACTGGCCACCACCTCCTGACCCCTAACCCGGGAAATGTGCGTGATGGGCAATGGAGACCAAACGCAAATGTTGGCTGGGCCTCGCTTCCACTGCGCCTGCTTTCTGCTCAGCGCTGTGTCCATGGAAGGCTGTTCCTGAAAAACGCCGGGAATTCTATCTCATTGCTCAGAGAACGAGCTTCCTACTCTCAGAGGCTTGGGTCCATAACAGGCTATGAGCACAGACTGTTCTGGGGTGTGGTGGAGAAGGGGTGGCATTGACCTCCAGCCTGTATGAGATGCACCCCAATATCTGGGTGCAACCATGTTGGTCTCTGTGTCCTGAGTGGGTATCAACTTCTGAATGCGTATCCTTTCACCGATAGCTTTTTATTCTCTCTATAAAAGTAATTTAAGTACATTATAGAAAAAATAGAAAACTGAAAGGGAAAATCAGTAACACCCAAAGGCAATCATCAACACTTCAATTTTTCTTGCGTCACGCGGCTTCACAAATGCACACCCGCCATGGTTGGTACCGGTACAAATACTTGATCTGTAATGAGGATGCCTTATGTGTTTGTGTGCCTGTATCCATTCGATGTCTTGAATCTCTCCCATATAAGTAAAACTTCTTCAAAAATATTTAAAAATGGTTGTATACAAATTCCTTGAAAAATTGTGCCTAATTTAACTACCCTATTGTTAAATATTTAGCCCTTGATTCCATGTAAGGATCATGCCGGGCTATAACATCAGTGTGTAAAGATCTAACTAAATTTCTCCTGATTTCCTTAGGATGGATTCCTAGAAGTTAAATGATCAGGTCCAGGGGTTTGTACCTTTTACTGCTCAAGAAAGCCAAAGCTGCACTAAGAGTTCTGACCTCCCCTGAGGTCCCCCCATGAACCCTCTTCTTGCTTTCCAGTGCCCCAAATCTCACGCAGGACTGGGGGCTCCATTGATGTAAGATAGGGGCTCCCACTGTTGCCCTGTTGGGGTGCAACACTACTCAGATGCCACAGAAACACACTTAAAGTCACACAGCCCTGGCCTGGTGAAGCCCAGGAATAATGAGCTCAGCGGGAAGCAAACGATCATTGACAACCACTGCTCTTCGTGCAGGATGGGCACTTGAGGGGTACTCACCTGATAAGTAGCAATCGCTTCTCTGTCCAAGGTCCGTGTCACAGAGACACTGCCCGTGTTCTCATTGATTCTGAAAATCCCTTTAGGCTCTTGATCCACTCCCTTTCCAGTGAGCCGGAACTTGGACCCTTCCGGTCTGTCACTATCGACTACCTGGTCAGGGAGACAGAGTGACATTTAAGACTCTGGCACAGAGAGAGCACATTACAAACACACCTCAGTGACCCAGCCACTAATCACAGGTGCAACACAGAGGTGCCTGGTGAACAACGGAGTAAAGCAGCATCACCAAAAATAGCATCACTGCTTAACACTTCCCATCCTGACATGCAAATCTTTGCCGTGACACAGAGTGATGGATCTAGGAGGGAAATAACTCCAGCAAGTTCAAGGCTGGACATTTATATTATTTTTAACTCCCAAGAAACATTTCTTTTTTTTTTTCTGCAAGCAAGACCAAATAGGTGATGGGAAAAACAACGACAAGAGACGACATTTGTCCGACAACACTGTCCTGGGCAGGCAAAGATCGAGGTGCTAGGTATTTGCATATGTCTTTACCTGCCCCATTGGTTCTACCAGATACTAGGCATAGTGCTGAGCAAGCATTTTACACACATTTTAAAAAACCTCACAACAATGCTGGGGTCAGGGACATTATTATTCGCACTTAATGGATGGAACCACAGAGACACAGAAATTAAATAAGCTGGCCATGGTTATGGCTATCCTATCTAATAAAAGAGTAATATGCAAACTGACCATCACTCCAACACACAAGGTGGCCAGCAGGGGAGGGCAGTTGTGGACGATCAGGCCAGCACAGGAGGGCAGTTGGGAGGGACCAGGCCTGCAAGGGAGGGCAGTTTGGGGGGACCAGGCTGGCAGGGGAGGGCAGTTAGGGGAAATCAGGCCAGCAGGGGAGCAGTTTGGCATCGATCAGGCTGGCAGGGGAGTGGTTAGGGGGTGATCCGGCTGGCAGGCAGAAGCTGTTAGGGGCAATCAGGCAGGCAGGTGAGTGGTTGGGAGTCAGCAGTCCTAAACTGGCAGTCACACATCCCTCAAGGGGTCCCAGATTGGAGAGGGTGCAGGCTGGGCTGAGGGACACTCCCCCCACCACCACCCTGTGCACAAATTTCGTGCACCAGGCCTCTAGTTAGAGATAAAGGTGGGATTCAGAACCCGGTCTCCATGTCTCTAGAAACAATGCTATGAAACACTGTCATCTCTGAACTTATTTTAAGATACTTCCCTACAGGTTGTTAGCCTGGCTTTGACACTTGAAGAATAAATTCAGAAGATAAAGATGGAAGAAGGTATTTCCAGGTGGAGAGAACAGGACAGATAGAGCAGCAGGCAGGTGAGAGAGAGGCTAGAAAATCTCAGAAACTATGTCACTACATAGTGTGGTTTGAGTAGAGGTGAGGTTGAGAGGTAATTAGGAACCAAATTATATTTTGTTTTCTTTATGGCATTTGAAGGTGCCCAACTAAAGAGAAATTATTATTTGCAAAAATAAGTTCTAGAGTTTTCCCAAGTATTCATCTCTGTTTCATGTCACTTTGTCATCAATATCTGCAACTATAACAATAATTTAAGTCAGGAGAACAATAGACATTTGGAACATATAAAAGAAAGCTTGATGCTGATCCAGGTGCAATCAATTTACAAATGAACAGGCACCTATTGGAACTTAGTCAACTGTGCCTGGAGGGTTTGGGTGAAATCTGCCTGAAATGTGCCTTATATGGAATTAGCCTCCCTCCCACCAGGCCAGTTCTGTGGCCACCAAGCCTGCAATTCCACTGGGTGGCACGAGGTGGCAGTGGTGCCTAAGGCAGTGGGACACTCATGGCAAAGTTCCTCTGCCATGATAGTTGAGTAAGAGCATGACCCAGTTCTATCTATATGGCAATGGGGTGTTTTCCTGATTTAAAGTATTCTTTATTAAAATACACTGGGAGTTTTGATCTAACGCCAATGACCTCTGTTTGCATTTTAAGAAAGCAGAAAATATCTGAACCAAGATTAAAAGTAAAGCATGATGGAAATAATTCTGATGAAAAGAATTATATCAGTCATTGCTTGGCTTGATTTAATCCAGCTGACATTCTCCCCCCAACCCACTCCCTGCTGCTTAGACGCTCCATGGGGTCAACAGTCACACCATATTGGGCTCACCACTGGATCTCAGGGCCTGGCTCAGTGCCTGGACTATAGCAGGAACCAAGGCCAACATCTGTTTAATGAAGAACACCACTGTTCAGACAAACATATGTCCCAGTCCTAGGATCCACCGTGTGCCCTTGGACATCAAACTTTGTCTTTTGATTTCCTCATCTTATTCCCTGGGTTGATGGGGATTTAATGGGATAGTGTGTGCAAAGTACAGATCTAAGCATGTGGAAGGGGCTCTATAAATAGTAGCCAATGACTGCAATACTGATAGTAACAATCATAAAATTATGCCAGTGTTAGTAATGGGTAAGATCACACCTCTAGGCATAAAAAGCATCTTAGCCATAATATTTTATGAAAATCCCTAAGGGAACAAATTTCCTCTTCACAAACCTCTCTGACTTGAAAAAAAGAAGGAGCAGCTGAGCAAACACACTCTTCTTTGTCACTCCATATTTACTGTCGCTCCCCTCCCTGTCTTACCACTCAGCCCAAATGTGGTTAAAACCTTTGCCTCTTGCTCTCCTAAGCACACCCGGGAGGCCGGTCCTCTCCAAAAGGCCGCATTGCCCAGGACAACCTAATGGGAAGTAAACAAGGGACACCTGCAAGCTCTGGAGCTGCCCTGCTTCCCAAGAATGGACCCCTGGCTCCACGTATCCACTAGGCATGGCCCATGGTGAGCTCCTGCTAGGGGCAGCCTGCTGACTCTATTCTACTTTCCTGACCCTTCCCTGCTCTGCAAAGGTTGGAGGACAGCATCCCACACCTTTTAATAGAAATAAGGTGGTAGATGGTCCTGAAAGCTCTCTTGGGGCAAATATTGCCGCCCTCCCATTTCTCCACCTGCCACTCAGCACAGAGCTGAGTTGTCCACTCAGAAATTCTCTCGGGGCAGCTTTTCTCCTGCTTTCAGGTCCGGGTTATTTCCTTGCTCACAGAGGGCTTGGCCCACTTGACCTTCTAGAAGTAGGGTCTTGCAGAGAGGATTTTGTTTAATAAGCACTGGCTGCTTGATTTAAATGACGTATTCCCCGGGAAAGGAGCAAGTCCCCACTGTAAGCACCTCTGCTAGGCACTATGCATCTTCTCTCTCAAAAATTTTGTTTTTAAAGGTTTGGATTTTAACACATCTGTTGAACCACCTGGTCCTCAGAGCTGTGTCCACAGCCACACCAGGTACAGTGCCCAGACTGGGCCGTAAGTGTCCCCCAGCACAGGGAAGTGAGGGCCCCATTCTCCCTAGAAAAATGCCTCAGATGTGCTTCCCTAGACCAGCATGGGCATCAACTGGGAACTTGACAGAAATGCAGATTCTCAGGCTCTGCCCAGACCTAAATCAGAACCCCAGGGGCAGGGCCTGGCAATGTACGTTGAACCAGCCTTCTGGGCGATTCTGAGGCACACCCAAGTCTGAGGACCACTGATTTAGACAGATTTTATCACTATCCACACTCATAACTGCTGATTTCCACTGCTACCATTTGGATCCTTCTGCTGAAAAAAGGCTCAGTCTGTTTGCTATCATCTTCCTAGACCTACTTTAAACATCTAACACTAGTAGCAATTCTTTTAAAAACCTGTTTTCTAGAACACCAGCAAAGCGGAGCTGGTACTTCTCCAAGTCCAACATCTCTACATGTCAAAGGCATCCCAGGAATGGAAGGAACCTTGGAGAAGAAAGCATGGGAGAGGGCGTCACTCCTCAGGGAGAAGATTCTGGAATCACCCCCCCATCTCTCCGGCTTCCTGGTTCCTAGGTGGGGCTTGAGAGGGACCCCAGCCCACTTCAGCTCACTTAGCTGGGAGATAGGAGGTATGCAGTGGCCACAAACCCAAAGAGGTGCTTAGCCACACATGGACGCTATGCCATGCAAGTCAAGTGGGTTTCCAGACAATCCTTATTACATTATGATAAACTCCTGAGAACTGTCCAGGTGCTACTCACAGCTATGCCCCAGGGCTGTGGTCCTTTTGTTATTGTTGAATGTGACAAAATGTAAGAGATCCAGTGCACTGCTGGCCAGAATGAATCCTATAGCTGCTGTTAACACCCATTATACCACCTAGCAGGGCTCCACAATTAGCTGGGCTTTCCTATTATTCTTTGTAATTCAACATTTCTTTTCACAGTGGGATTTTTTCCCTTTATCCTCTGAGTTGGAATGAAAAAAATAGCTAATAATGAGAAAAAACTTGGAGCATGGGCACGTAAATAGCACACAGGAGTCTTGCTGCATACCTGGGTAAAGTGACTCCCAGATACCCTTGGGGAGGCCAGCAGACCAGCTGTGTCCATGGCATGGCCCAGCTGGGACCAGAGTCCTGTGCACTGAGCGAGGAGTGCGAAGTACTGAGGCCTGGATCAGTAGCTGTGTGATTTGAGTTTCAAAGGACATTCTCGCTGCATACTTCTTATAGAATGCGGTGTATTATGGACAAAGCCAAGGCCCCCTTGAGTCTCCTCATTAAGTCCTCATTAAGTCCTATTCCCAGCTGCAAGTAACCACTGATACCAGGTTATAGATGTTGTTAAGGTATTCTATGAATTTACATATATACATATGTACTCATAGAATATATAGCAATTTTAAATATTTTCACATAAATAGGATCATTCTGTATAAATTATTCTATAACTAGAGGCCTGGTGCACGAGATTCATGCACTGGGGCGGGGGGCCCTCAGTCAGACATCCCTCTTGCAGTCTGGGGCTCTTGCAGTCTGGAACCCCTCGCTCCTTACCATCTGCCTGCCTGAAATGGAGGCAGGAGAGGCTCCTGCCACCACTGCTGGGCTCGCCAGCCGTGAGCCCGGCTTCTGGCTGAGTGGTGCTGCCCCTGTGGGAGCACACTGACCACCAGGGATCAGCTCCTATGTTGATCGTCTGCCCCCTGGTGGTCAGTGTGCATCATAGCGACTGGTCGTTCCACTGTTTGGTTGATTTGCATATTATGCTTTTATTATATAGGGTA